TGTGTGTTGGCTGTTTTCTATCTAAGACTCCCAGCCACAGACAGACAGCAAATTACAGTAGTGGCTCTAGCTCGCTTATTCTCAGAAAAAGATGACCACATGACCAGGGCAGTCACACACGTACACTTGTACACCTGTACACAGACAGGCAGACAGATAGACAGATAGATAAATAGATAGATAGATAGATAGATAGATATTTTGAATGTGAACCTGCTGTAAGGACATGATGCTACAGCTTGGTGTGCTGACCCACTCATTTCTCAAAGTACTATACGTTGTGCATGTTTTAGTCTTAAAACTTAAAGTTAACAATTTTGCAAATCCTGCTGCTGTGCTTAAAGCAGCCAGGGTGCCCAGGGGGTCATAATGTTATGGCTGATTGGTGTATGTCAAACCATGAGAGAACTGCATCTTAAAGATCATATCATGCATTCAAAAATAATTTATGTTTAAATTTGGATTTGTATTTTAATCCCTAGTGTTTACTAGAAATTTGAGATGTGATTATTGTATTAATTATTGTACTTTTTATACTAATCGATATATAATAAAAAACACAATATAGGCACAGTAATTACACCTGATAGTTAATAAAATTCAGCATTTACAGAGATGACAATTTAGTTTTAGCCATGCTAATGGAATAGTGCTATGGATGGCAAGTCTGTAGGTTAAGTCACTCTCTACCACTTTGGTCCAGCCTGAAACATTTCACAGCAATTGGATGGATTGCCACAAAATTTGATATAGATATTCATGGTGCCCAAACAATAAATCCTAATGACTTTGATACACTTCTTACTTTTCCTCTAGCGCCTGCAACTTGACTTGTGGTTTTGACTTGACTGTCTTGACAATAATTGGGTGGATTGCTTGGATGGATTGCTAGCTCCCACGTTCATGTTGATGAATTGTAATAACTTGGTCATCCCTTAACTGTTCAGTTTGTGTCTGTTTTCCCTTCCCTTGCCTCCCTCGTGTCTCTTGTCTGTCTGTGTCGGTGTGGTTATCTGCACTCTCCCTCCCCGGACTTCCAGTCTGCTAATCAAGCACACCTGAACCTCAGCACCTCATCTATACAGCAGTATATCTACACCGGCTCTTCACCCACTCATCGTCAGATTGTTCAGTCAGCTGCTGTGGTAGTGTGCTCTCAGGCCGCTTTAAATGCTATGTAGAAGTATCTCGTTGCTTGGTTCCTTGTGGGTTTTATCTGCCTAACCCTGGTCTCCTTGTGCTCCAGAACCATGCTCAAAAGCCTGCCTGCCCACTGTCAGCCTGCCTCTTCAAGCCAGCTATAGCAAGGCACGCTTAGTTTCCCTCAGCCACTGCTCACTGCCCTCTGCCTTACCCAGTGACTCCTCGGCTCCTTCCATCTCCATTGCCCCGCTCCCTTTTTTCAATAAATACAACATAAACATGACAGTGCCATCAGGTGAAAAATAGGTCTTTCTGATACTTTGGTTAATAACACTCAGAAAATCTAACGACCAATAATTCCAATAGCCTCAGCTGTACTTTGTGTTTAG